AAATAAAAACCCAGCGAAGCGGGTCCTTGCAGCTAGTTCAAAATAAAACAACTATTTTTGAGTCTTTTTAGGTGGAGGCGTAGAAAATGTTCTATTATTTCAGACGCATTTGGAGAGGATATCACATTTGATAGTAGCATTTACCCTTTGCCTTTTATTCCAGTACCTTCTACCTCTTTATGTATAAGATAAAAGGAACCAACGAAAAATTGATAGTTTTTTTTAACATCCCTTGTAACGTCTTTCGGCAAAAATGTTCAATGTAGCTAATAGAATCGAACAGTTTTGCAGGTACATCTACGTTGTCTGAAATTTGGTGTTGATACTATTAACTGTCTGAAAATTTCATGAAAATCCAATAATTAGGATCACTTTTGATAGAATAAATATTAAAATTCGAGTCGGGGAAGTTGAAACTAACATAAATCAATGTAGGAAAACGTGAAAAAATTCGAATTAAATTAAATTAAATTAAATTAAATTAACTAATTGAAATAGGAGATGTTAAAGCCTTACGCTATTCCATTGAGACCTACCGAGTGCTTCGTTTTCTTCGAGTTGTAGAAATATGTCGTAATGTGGGATTCTTGCTGATTGATTTTATTGTGAATAAGTTAGAAAATTTAGATCTATCCACAAAAGAAAAAACGCCCGTAGGTATAAGCGACTGCCTAGTGAGGATCTTGTCCTTCGACACCCGGCCGCCTCATAATAGGCTTGTTAAAAGAGACCCTTTTAGCGTCCACTTGATAGAAAGAGGTAGTAAATTACCTCAATGATCCTATTTTTTAAATCTGTTTTTGAACATTCTCGTTTCAATTTTTTTTTTCTTTAAATCAGGGGTGTCCAACCCGCGGCCCGCGGGCCGCATGCGGCCCAAGGCAAGTTCCAATGCGGCCCAATAAACGTGTAAACAAAACTGACAAATGTTTTAATTTTTTTATTATTTATTTATTTCAATGGCATAAACTAAAAAAGAAGTTTCACAAAGTCGTNATGAAAAGCCAGAGGATAGACACTGACACAAACTTTCAAAACTTGCCGATATGACTGAATATTTGAAATTACTTAGTAGTAGTAATACCAATAAATCTTCCATGCTTCTTGCGAGTGTTTCTCCGAAAATCAATAATGTTTTTCTTTGTTGATGTTTTCGGGTTGAGCTCAAGCGTCACTTTGAAGTAACTAGACTACGTGACAAATATTCGACACGTTTAATTATGACAGTAATAAAGCTTGTGCGCTTTGTTTAAAGCATATCCACTTTTTCTACGCGATCAAGAATGTCATTTTTCTAGTCAATCTTAGTATTCTGTTAGACGATCTCTTATTTTTCATTAACATTTCAGCAGATTGTACAAGAGACCCTTTAACATGTGACAGAAAACTAAATCCTTGGGTTACAGAAACAGAAAAATCAGTCTACGAGAAAATACGAATCGGTACGACAAACGACGTTGTTTAGGAACGCGCCAATCAACAAATATTACGAAGAGAAGAATACACGGATCAGGCGTAACCTCAGAGCCGGCAGCTCTAGAGCAGGAGTCTTACTTGTTAAATCTTCCACAGCCTTTGGAACCCTTCTAGTTTATAATATTATCCAACCAGCGTTAGAGGCTCTGAAGAATGTTGACTTTAGGAATTCTGCATTAGTGTATGGAAATTCAACTGTGCAGTAGTCGGACAAATCCATAAATAAAAATTATAAGGTGGTCAATTTTGAAAATCTTCATTTTCCAAATAATCAAAAGTTCGAGTGCAAGACTAACGTTACTCTGCGACGTATTTCACTTCAATCTTACAGTAAATCGCACTTTAACGGATATTGCAGAACCTCGGTTAATCGGGGGTTTTACTGTATTGTTTTCTTACGGATGAGAAATGACTGTGTTGAAGACTTAAACTATCTTCCTTTCATAATTTTTTCTTCATAATTTTCTCAAAGCTTGTTTTACTTGTAAAATCATCGGCGTGCTCAAATCGATGGCCATATGCCCGAGAAGTTAAGATGGTACTACTGCTCTGGAGAACCCTGAGCAGTACCTGAATCGAAACCAAGACGGGTCGAAAACCCCAGGAATTTTTCTGGATCGTCCGGTTATGTTGAGTCCCAGTCCTTCACTATCCGACCGCTACAAGAATGGGTTTGTTAGAAAGGCCTCTTAGTAAATTCATATTTTCTTTATCCTGTGGACACTTATTATTATTTTTACACTAAAATTAGTTAAGTATTCCTTAGTGAGAACGTTTCGCACAATCTTTTTATTTTTGAAAATTCACATTTTTAACTTTCCGTGGGTGGTAGATAAATAAGGCCTTTATATATCAGTACAATGAGTTTTTCAATCCTCGAATTCCACACACAAAGATCTAAAATTTATGCTCCAAAATGGGAATTATCCTGTTCCATAGTTCCACTTGCATCTCTAAATTTTAGTTTTATTTAAGTGGAAATCGCTTATAAATTATCAATAAAATCGTTTCAATTATGTGATCTATTTATTGATGAAATCTAAAAGAGACCAACCATCGTCAAAGGATTTTATAGATATTTTAAAAGAATTAAAAAACTTGAATTTATTTTGTCTTAGTNCCACACACAAAAATCTAAAATTTATGCTCCAAAATGGGAATTATCCTGTTCCATAGTTTGTAGCACTTGCATCTCTAAATTTTAGTTTTATTTAAGTGGAAATCGCTTATAAATTATCAATAAAATCGTTTCAATTATGTGATTTAACAATAACGAGAAACAACAAATAAATTTATCCGAATGCTTCGAACAATAATAAGAGCCTGTACACACTAGGCGTTTTTCAACGCGCGTTTTAAAGAACCAAGAGTTGTATGTAGGCGTACACACTCAAACGCGCGCTTTTGGCCAAGCCCGCGTTAAACGCGCGTTTATAGATTTTTGTTAAAACGCGCGTTTTGCGAGCGCTTTACGGGCGCTTTGAGATATATGTGCTGCCATGTTACCGTACATGCGATCGCGCGTTTTGCGGGCGTCAGCCGAGCGCTTTGAGATATATGTGCTGAAATGGAGAACGATCATTTCGATACTGATCTATTTATTGATGAAATCTAAAAGAGACCAACCATCGTCAAAGGATTTTATAGATATTTTAAAAGAATTAAAAAACTTGAATTTATTTTGTCTTAGTTTTGGATACAACATCGCAAACATTTCATGCGTCAGTCTATCTCGTAATATTGGGTGCACCCAAAATTCTCTTTGCCTCTGACGTCGTCTTTTATAGCGACGATAGAGGATCCACACACAAGCAATCACATCCATTTCCAAACCGAGCCAGTGCGCACGCTCCACTAAACGCCTAGTGTGTACACAGCCTAAGTTCAGAAAAATTAACACAGCAGTCGCAGAGAAATAAACTTAAGTTTATATTGTTTTATTCTTATATAACAAAGTATATTTAGAGGGCCACGATGAATTTAATGAGAGTCGTTGTCTTTTCGAGAAATTAGAAAAGAATCTCGAATAATGAAGACGAATTTGACTCAAAACTTATTCTGAAGAATTTGATGAATAGATACAAAGACAATTCAACGACGGACATCTTGAAAAACCACCAAATTACCGATCCTTATTCGAAACAAAAGAAAACCATCTTTCATCACTCTGGAACTAAACACAAACATTTCAAGAGAACTCACAGAAAAGGACCCGACAATAGAAAATTACTACATCTTTCAATAATTCTAGTGTTTCTTTGCTCGATATCGTCGGTAGTAATCTTCGTCATTTTTCTGTTTCATTTTTTTCCGTAAGAGATTCTTCCTACAAAGAGAATCCCGATTTAGAAGAACAATCGTCACATTTATTAAAATTCAACGAAGATGAGGATTTTCAATTGAGTGACGACGAAACAATATGCGATCACGAATCGGACAATGCAAATTCACAACTCGAAAATGGGTCTGTGAAGAATTTAACGAAGTATCTAAAAGTTGTCGACATTTGTCATCATCTCGTCAGAATCTTTGACAATGATTTGCAAGTTAATCAAGAACACGATTCTAATAGAAATAGAATCGCTATATATCCCAGTTCTTTAGCCGAATACATTGTAACAGAGTTAGAGAAGAAATTAAACGAAGTGAAGTTCGTTGAAACAACTGAAAAACAACATAAAAGATACTACGACCATTAATTTGGTAAACAATAAATATATGTAGAATTATGTGAAGGATGATCATATTTCGATACGAGAGAGAAATAACGATGATGCGCCTGCACTATACATCCGCATTCCATTCTCATTCGAAACCNGGTACTTTTTTTGGTTTGAGGTAAAAAATATCATTTGGCGCTTTGGCTACTTCTTGGGCTACATATTATTTATATATTAGTTGAATAAAAATGCACTTTAAAATGGTGTTTCGTCGCTTTTTATTAATTAGAGACCCAAATAAAACAAATATTTGTGTTTTTCAAATAAAGTTTCGTTTGTCTTTTTTATAGTAAATGAATTTGTCTATTGAAAGTAAAATTGAAAGTGTCTGTAGAAGTAATTTTTAAAATATCCTTTTTCGTGATAAAGATTTAATACTTATTATTATAATCTAGATGTGTTAATCCTTTAGTATACTCATATATTGGGCCACAAGTATATATTATATATACTTGTGGCCCAAAACTCCTTGACTTCTTCCAATGCGGCCCAAAGAAACTGAAAGGTTGGACACCCCTGCTTTAAATGATAGCTAAGTAAGGTTTTTGCAGTCCAAATGTTAGTTTTAACGAAGATGTAATGCACAAATTCGAATTTCATAATCCGAAATCTAAAGTTTATGCTACAAAATGAAAATTTTTCCTGTTCCACTAACTGTTCTTTAGTGCTTACATCCCAGAATTTTAATATATAAGCGAATACCATTCAAATAAAATTAACAATCAAATCATTTCAATTGTGTAATTTAAGGATAAATTAATTTATTGTTTCTCATTATTGTTATTCGAAGCATTATTCTTTACAATTAAGTTTTAGTTTTATGCTTATAGGCCTATAATAGTTTATTGATAGGTTCAGTATGAATTTAATGACAATTTTCATCTTTATGATGATTTTTTTCCTCGTTTCTTGTCGAGAGGTTATAAAAGAATCTCAATTTGACGAAGAAGACAATACATTTGACACAAACCCGATTCTGAAGAAGAATTTGATAAATAGATACAAAGACAATTCAAGGACGGACATCTTGAAAAATCACCAAATTACCGATCCTTATTCGAAACAAAAGAAAACCATCTTTCATCATTCGGGAACTAAACACAAAGATTTCAAGAGAACTCACAGAAAAGTACCCGACAATAGAAAATTACTACATCTTTCAATAATTCTAGTGTTTCTTTGCTCGATATTGTCGGTCGTAATCTTCGCCATTTTTCTGTATTTCATTTTTTTTCGTAAGAGAAATTCTTCCGACAAAAAGAATCCCGATTTAGAAGAACAATCGTCACATTTATTAAAATTCAACGAAGATGAGGATTTTCAATTGAGTGACGACGAAACAATATGCGATCACGAATCAGACAATGCAAATTCACAACTCGAAAATGGGTCTGTGAAGAATTTAACGAAGTATGTAAAAGTTGTCGACGTTGTCAAAGATTCCGACGAGATGATGACAAATGATTTGCAAGTTAATCAAGAACACGATTCTAATCAAAATCGAATGGCTATATATCCCAATTCTTTAACCGAATACATTGTAACAGAGTTAGAGAAGAAATTAAACGAAGTGGGAAGTTCGTTGAAACAACTGAAAAACAACATAAAAGATACTACGACCATTAATTTGGTAAACAATAAATATGATCATCCTTCACGTAATTCTACATCTATTTCGATACAAGACAGAAATAACGACGATGCGCCTGCACTAGACACCCGTATTCCATTCTCATTCGAAACCCACAGTTTTCTAACTGACGACGATTCCTCGAAGCAGGAGTTCGAGGAACAGATCCTAAAGTATGACAAGGAAGAATATGCCGGTAATGTCGAAATAACATCTTCCTCAGAACTTTGTAATATTCTCGATGAAGCCAAAAATGGCATTTCTTTTATAGAATCCCGAAATTTGGAACCACCATACCGTAATCCGTCCAGCCATGGCTCGAGAACGCACACAAATGACAAGCATTATCTAGATTTTCTGGGTTCTGATTCCGGAAGGATCCGTAATGCTAAACAGAATGGAAAATCGAGAAAGATATTTAAGAAATCGACATGTCAACGTTATGGGAATAATAAAGATAGTACTTATTGTAAAAGGTCCTCTGATTCGATAAAAAGTTTGACCAGCTGCAAGAACTGCAGAAAATCATCATCGCATGAATCACACGATTTAGCTGACGACGATGAAAATGAATCGTTAAAGAATATTTTAAGACATTATACAGAGAATTAATACAAAGAAACTTTGTGTAGATACGTTCGGAAGTTCGAAAATTTGTTTCAAAACTATTATGAAAACTTCACTTTGCATCTACAATATTTTTACATTTCTATTTCTTTAATAATAATAATAATAATAATAATAATAATAATTTATGATTTATTTTATCNGTTGAAACAACTGAAAAACAACATAAAAGATACTACGACCATTAATTTGGTAAACAATAAATATATGTAGAATTATGTGAAGGATGATCATATTTCGATACGAGAGAGAAATAACGATGATGCGCCTGCACTATACATCCGCATTCCATTCTCATTCGAAACCCACAGTTTTCTAACTGACGACGATTCCTAGAAGCAGGAGTTCCGGGAACAGGTCCTAAAGTATGACCAGGAAGAATATGCCGATGATGTCGAAATAACATCTTCCTCCGAACTTTATAATATTCTCGATGAAGCCATAAATAGCATTTCTTTTAGAGAATCCCGAAATTTGGAACCACCAAACCGTAATCCGTCCAGCCATGGCTCGAGAACGTACACAAATGACAAGCATTATCTAGATTTTCTGGGTTCAGATTCCGGAAGGATCCGTAATGCTAAACAGAATGGAAAATCGAGAAAGATATTTAAGAAATCGACATGTCAACGCTATGGGAATAATAAAGACAGTACTTATTGTAAAAGGTCCTCTGATTCGACAAAAAGTTTGATCAGCTGCAAGAATTGCAGGAATCATCATCGCACGAAGTGGCTGACGACGATGAAAATGAATCGTTAAAGAATATTTTAAGACATTATACAGAGAATTAATACAAAGAAACTTTACGTAGATACGTTCGGAAGTTCGAAAATTTGTTTAAAAACTATTATGAAAACGCCACTTTTACCTGACCAATGGCAAGGACTATATACTACAAGGATAGCCAGATCCCTATTCTACAATGTTAGCCAGGAATGCCAAGTTAGTGACGTCAGCACGAGACCTGACCTCTCTGTTTACATAGAGCAGGGTGTGCACGTGTTTAGTTTTCGCTTTTAATATTCGTCCAATTTTGTGATTAACGAAGTGATTTATTTTAATATTTCTGTAATTGTTTTATTTGACTAAGTTTTTTATAAGGTAAGATGATTTAAATATAAGTCATTAAATATTTAAAGCTATATTTTTATGTTAGGTGAAGAACAAAATGCNTTTATAAATTTTTGATTTTTAGGAAACATTCGGATCCACCCGACACATACCAAATTATCTGTTAATTCCTGAGCAGTAAGTACTATGTTTGTCCATATAAATATTTCTATAATAGTTTGGTACAAGGGATATAATTTCGACAGATATTTCCACTTTCTGGCATCCTTCTTACAATTGCAATACATTATTTTAATTCCAAATATCTCCAACGGTATGAGTATTGGTCGTAGTAAACATACAATGCACAAACTACGCTTCTTGTAACCAGAATACATGTTAGCTATCGTAGGACATAATGCAAATACGAAAAATTTAAGATCTAGATTCAGTTTCTATTGCAAAATATTTGGTTACGTAAAGCAAATGAAAGTTTTCTTAAAAAAGAGAATATTTTTGAATGCGGAATTCAAAGGTATGCCACCTCGTTGTAATACTATACAAGTCTATAGCATATTTTCAATTTTAAGTTTACAATTCGGTTTTTTTGTTGCTAGAAGTTCTACTAAGACAGACAGCAATGAATATATGGCGCTAAGAAACTGTAAAAGTAAACATGTTTATATTAAATGTTATCATTAATACCCAAAAAAATAAATTATATATGATACAAGAATGAATGTTTATATGTCATACGACTTTTACGAATATAAATAGATTTTTATAAATGCAATTATAACTGATACTTTTACAATTTTAATAAAGCCAAACAGAATAAATAGAAGTAACTTACTCGAATGAAGAAGTTCTTCTTCACATAAAAGAATCCTCCGATGTCTATTCCAAATGGAGTTTTACCATATCTTTTCATAAAATTCAGCATCTTTTTAAAGAAATAAAATTACTTTTTAATATATTAAATTTATAGACTACAGAAAACAACTTAAATTTATCTGTATTACCTTCATTTTAGTTTCTAATGGCAAATCAGCCGAACCCAATTTATAGATTTCAATAAACTTGCCGTACATCTTGAAAAATTAAAAATAATTTCAGAATATATGCATGAAAATTGGAACTGATCATATAATTCGTATGAATTCTCTTATAAAAGATACAATTAATACAAAATGATTTATTCTAAATATGAGTTAAATTCACATATTTCTAATAATTCAGAATGTTTCATTTTACTCATAAAACGTCCAGATCGAAGAACTTCTTTAAAACAATTGAAAAAGTCCGATGCTACTACCACAACGCTCCAGCACGTCTGGCTGAAAGGTTCTGCTTCATTCATCTTACAGTTCAGTTTTGTGCCAATTGACTACCATATTTTTCGAGCCCTGAAGAACCATATTGCCAATATGCAGTTCAACGACAATACCAAACACTCGAGACATTCTTCAAAGTCATTCTATTCTCACTGGATTGAAAGTGTGTAGCGAAGGTAGTCAGATGTGGTTGATATTTGATGGTGAATATTTACCAGACTGAACTATAATCGATGTTGAGTTGCCAATAAATAATTTTTTCAAATATCTAAATTTCACCTTTGCAATCCAATACTTAATCCATCATAGGATTAAGTAATACTAGTTACCGTGACTAACGAATTTCAAAGATTTTTACATTTTTTGACTCAGACAATTCAAAATTTGTTGTGATGTGTCTTAGTATTTTTAAGCATAAATCTTTATTTTGCATGGAAAGTTACAAAATCTATTGCTAAAGTTTTAAGAAGCGACGTCCTTTATACAATCGCTTTATTGAACGTCAAAATAAAAAAAATAAATCATTATTCTTATTATTAGAATGAAAAACCTTTTATCTTTGCGTCGTTTCACAATACATCAATTTACAATTTATTTATAAATGCCCGCTTAATGTATGAAATGATACAGTTAACTTACCAAAGATGTGAACCGAGATAATTGAAAAGATCCAAATGTAATTACGACAATGAAACTTGTCAAAATAATAGTAAATGCAAATCGCATCACGTCATCAAGTTCAAAGAAAAACACTGAGCAGATTAAGAAACTTGTCAGATACACGCCAGCACAATATACAGCAGGAGCGTATATTTCACAAACTAGGTTTATTTCTTGTATATAAGTCCATAAATCCCAATGGGTTTCAATGAGCGTCTCAATTTTATTTTTCAGTGAACATTCTTCTTTTTTCAATTCATCGACTGCATCAGACAAATACTTGAATCTTTTCGAGATAGTGAAGGACAAGGAACTTATAGCAAGCATACAAAAATTTAATTGTCCAATTATATAAATGCATAATATTGTAACATTCAGATTACAGAATGCGAGCTCAAATTCTGAATCAGTTGTTGCCTTTAATGTAGGATACAGGAAAATGTCAATTACAGTAACAACTGTAACTAATGGAAAAAATAACAATATAAGAATAATTATGAAATACTTTTGAATATCATTTGTCATTTCTTCCTCTCCTTCGTATCCACTGTTATTTCTTGAAAAATAAAGTCTCTTTCGTTTAAAGAAACTGAATTCAAGAGCTAGAAACATACCTAATGTAATTCCAATAAATTTTATAAATTTTTGATTTTTAGGAAACATTCGGATCCACCCGACACATACCAAATTATCTGTTAATTCCTGAGCAGTAAGTACTATGTTTGTCCATATAAATATTTCTATAATAGTTTGGTACAAGGGATATACTTTCGACAGATATTTCCACTTTCTGGCATCCTTCTTACAATTGCAATACATTATTTTAATTCCAAATATCTCCAACGGTATGAGTATTGGTCGTAGTAAACATACAATGCACAAACTACGCTTCTTGTAACCAGAATACATGTTAGCTATCGTAGGACATAATGCAAATACGAAAAATTTCAGATCTAGATTCAGTTTCTATTGCAAAATACTTGATTACATAAAGCAAATGCAGGTTTTCTTAAAAGAGAAAATATTTTTGAATAAGTTATTACTCGAACGATTGATTTTTATTTGCTTAACGTATTCGTAGCCTTCAATAGTAAAATAGGAAAATCTATAATACGAATATTTTCATCTTACTTCCTTCTTATTATCTAATATTTTGATCTAAATTTACTAATTACCCTCCATTTACAAGACATTGCAATGAATTGAAAATTCGTACAAAACTTTTTAATTTAAATAAGAAAATATTTTAGTATGTAAAATTTTATTTTATTTACTCTGTGAAACATGTATTTCATTTCATAATAAAATTCAATCATATTTTCTGGCTTTATGATGTATTATAATTGATGTATAACACTCTATTATGTATTGATTTAGTAATGTATAAATGTAAGCAAATATCTGCCAGTAGGATTACAGTAGATCCCCCTATAACACTGTAGATAATTCCATGTTGTACGAGTCACTTAGATTTTACAAATACGTGTGCCTAGCTGTGAAGGGCTCATGTATTTGTAAAATCTAAGTGATTCGTACAACATGGAATTCATATAACACGGAATTATCTACAGTGTTACAGGGTGTCTACTGTACAGTATTTTATTCGCTTTATTGTACAGTACTTACGAAATAATTGCGATATTCGAGTTATTTGTAGTATTGGAATTTATATTTTATCATCGTAATCGGCATTAGAGATCTGGAATACATTCCAATATTCGGGTATTGAAGATCTCTGGAACTTCCATTGAGGATAAGGTAATTTACCTTTTATAATTCTGTTATCATGCAGATTTGGGCAATGAAGCAGCGATCGTCTTTGTATGTCTTTAAATAAGTGGAAAGCAATATAAAACAAAAATCAATCTTTACGTAATGTCTTATTCATAAATACCTTCTCTGTTACGACAATTTGCATTTAGTTTATTTACGGAATATGTTGCAATAAGACTGTAAACCTAAAACTAAATCCAGATCTAAATTTTTACATATTTTAACTACATCATCCTTCAAGAGCTAAGAGTAAAACGTGTATCCAGGTTATAGTTTGTGCCTTGTACGTTTTCAACGACCAATCCTCTCATCATTAAAAGTAATCTGTCGAAAACTGGAAATATCTGTCCTTTGTACGAAAACAGCTGTAGATATTTTACAGTTAACGAAAATATTCTGTTCCTAGACCATGTTCGTTACCCGAATTGTTCGTTAACCGATTATCGATTTACCATAGATTTTCATGGAAATTTGATTAATTCGTTCTGGAGACCCCCAAAAATAAATAAAAATTATATACTTTCTTACTACGTATATATATAAAGATAAAAATACATATATACACAGTCTTGCATTTTTATCAGTAATGTTTTTTTTTCCGTTTGTGGGACGTTAAAAAATCTGTCTAATGTCGATTGCTTTTCTCTCTTCTTCAGGATTTTTCGAAGTAATTAATAACGTCGTCGTAGAGATTCCCAAGCTTATTAACCTCAACCTGGTTTGGATGCCATTTTAAGACCGTTGTTCAGACATCCTCTCACTTCTTCAAAATATCTTTAATAGCAGATATCAGCATTAATCCTCTTTTGTCTTCCTCTTTTTCAGAAGAAAACACATCTCGCTGAGTTTCTTGGTGTTCTTCATTTAAGAGTTCTTGGAGTTCTTCTGTCTTCAGATCAATTTCAGGTTCCATTATCAGATCTTCAATGTCATCTTTATTCATATCCAATTCCAGATCTCTAACGGTTGTCACAATTTCATCCATAATTTTAGGGACATCATCTCTATCTTTCTGAATGCAGAAGGGACACAACTTTCGCAAAGCAGGATTCAACTGTTCTTGAGTGACTTCTGACCATGCCTTTTGAATGAGCCGTATAGCTTCAATAATATCAAATTTTTCTTTCTAAAACGTTTTAATGTCAT